ATAAAACTGAGTCAAATATAATCAGAAACTGAACTGTTAATGTTATTAGTGATTATGATCGTGCATTGAGTGTCAATCAGCTGTTTGCTGTTAATGAGAGTTCATTAATTGATGGATGAGGAGTAGAGAGAGAGAGAGCAGCTCCCCTCCCCCACTGCTGCGCTGCTCGCTCTCTCTCTCTCTCTCTCTCTCTCTCTCTCTCTCTCTCTCTCAGCCGTCATTAGCGATCTCTCCATCAGGTACAATCAGACTTCAACGGCTCACTAACAAACTTAACTCAGCTGAATATCTTCCTATGTTATATCTTAATCAGCTGAGGTGAATGAAGGTGTTCACTGAGGAACAGCTGACTGTGGCAGCACTCAGATACTAATACATAAGTCAACACTTAATTAGTTACTTAATTGCTCGACAGCATGAGCTAATAATTAATGAATTAGTATTAAAATCATGACTTACTCTGTCGTGTTGTCCTTGTCATGTACCTGGCCTCGCAGGTGCTGTGGTGTTGATGCAGCCTCTGTCTTCCGCTATACCGATCCCTTTAATCCGGCCCACGTGAGCGCATTGTCATTTACATATATGGTCTTAATGTCAAAACATCTAAAAAGAGCAAATTCCATTGGTCTATCATTCAGCCTATCAATCCGACCGAACAATGAGCGAACCGTCCAATCAGAAACCTTGAAGAGTCATACTCTTGCAGCCAATTAAAAAAGCTGCCGTAAACCCGTCTGCCTTTAGGGGGAGCTCAGGAGAAATAAGCAAACACACCTAGTGTCATGATTTGCTATTAAAATAAGGACATTTGGGAAACTCCCACAGCATGATGCCCAGCCCCCCTGGAGCCCTTATTGAGCAAAATAAAGTGAGGACCTCAATTTTGTCCTCACTTTATCGAAATGTCCTCACTTAAAAGGTGTTTTGTCATGAATTGGTCCTCACAAGTATAGCATTACAAACACACACACACACACACACACACACACACACACACACACACACACACACACACACACACACGGATTGGTGTTCAGCTTCAACATAAGTGAAAACAGCCACAATATTATCCTAATATTGTCTCCATGTGTGTGTAAAATATATAAGGCATGGATTACACAAGACCTCTTAAAAGCTTAAAGACGGGCTGGTCAGAGTACTGCTGATCTACTGGGATTTTCATGCATGACCATCTCTAGGCTTTACAGAGAATAGTCAGAAGAAGAGAAAATATCCAGTGAGCGGCAATTCTGGGGGTGCAAATGCCTTGTTGATGAGGAGAATGGCCAGACTGGTTCCAGCTGATAGAAAGACAACAGTAACTTAAATAAGCACTCATAACAACCGAGGTCTGCGGAAAAGCATATCTGAACACACAACACGTCCAACCTTGAGGCAGATGGGCTACTGCAGAAGACCTGACGGTCTGATGAGTCTCGATTTCTGCTGCCACATTCGGATACTCGGGTCAGAATTTGGCATCAACAACATGAAAGCATGGATCCATCCTGTCTTGTATCAACGGTTCAGGCTGCTGGTGGTGGTGTGGGGGATATTTTCTTGGCACACTTTGTGCCCATTAGTACCAATTGAGCATCGTGTCTATGCCACAGCCTGCCTGAGTATTGTTGCTGACTATGACCACAGTGTACCCATCATCTAATGGCTATTTCCAGCAGGATAACGCACCATGTCATAAAGCGTGAATCATCTCAGACTGGTTTCTTGAAAATGACAATGAGTTCACTGTACTCAAATGGCCTCCACAGTCACCAGAACTCAATCCAATAGAGCACCTTTGGGATGTGGTGGAACGGGAGATTAGCATCATGGATGTGCAGCCGACAAATCTGGTCAAAGACCATTAGGCTACTGATTCAACTCTTATTAGTTATGCATACCTGTTAATGATGACTACATGAGTGTCAGGAAAGATTACTATCTATTCATATTTGACATATCATGCTGTTCAAGCACCAGGTTCATTGCTTTTCTTATTTTGTAGGTCATGTTTTGTTTTTTTCCGCTGACTTTTCAGAAACAAAATAACAACAACAATCAAAGCATCATGTGCTGTTGAGCTTTAAAAGCATGACACTGCAGTCTTTGCTCAGCTGCTCTCCTCATAAATCAATAAACGCATAATCATTCTACATCATCATTCTGCTCCTGCAAGCGTATAATTGATAATCAAAAATGTGAAGTGAATTGGATTATTGCCATTATGAAATAATATTGGCTATAACATAATTAAACATTACAAATAAGACGTAAAGACAGGGAATAATAGATTGTGAATTTTTCCAACTCAATTTTGGTGTATGGCTTAAATTATAATAAATCTGATGTTTGTTGTCAGACGTTTTAGCTAGAATAGTGCAGAGCAGGTTATTTTCCCTTATTAAATGTGTGGGAGTCTTATATTTTATCACAAATTTGACTCTTCCCTTAGTAAAAGAGGACGGTTTTATGGCATCTGCTTTATGGCATCGGCTCTAGCCTAATAAAAGTACGATGCTACAAAGGTTTTAATGAGTTTTAAATTTGACTTGGTGAAGGCTGCAGAATCCATGTAGCATCAAGAGAATGCAAGGTTTACCATGTTGCTCTGATGCAGCCGTCTATCCATCAGTATTTTCTTTTTATTGAAGGCACATATCTTTTGGCCTGCCCAATGTTCCCGCTTACAACACAGGCAACTCAGGAACTGACTGTTCTGTTCACTTGCTGCCAAATGTCCCAACCCTACACAAGTCCCACAGTAAACACTTAAGCAATGCTATTCATTTAACCTGTCAGTTAGTGGTTTTAAATCCAAATCAAGTGATTTTGCAGGTTTCAAGTCGAATTTAAGGCTTTTTAAGACCTTTTTAAGACCATTATGAATGAAATTTTTAAACTTATACAAGACTAAACACTAATTATTTTTTCTAATGGTCTGGTTGGGCCAATGGAAAAGGTTTTTAGTTGCCTTATCAAAAGCATGCAATTTTAGTTATTTCTTAGCCACATATTTAAATAATGCATCAAAAAAAGCAAGCTCTAGTTGTATACATGCACCTTTTTCAATGTAACGTTACTTTTCATTTTTATTTAACACATTTTAAAAACTATAACACTCTAAATGTATGCTAACAGTCTGTCCTGGTCAGTGTCCTCACCAGGGAGCTATACAAATGCTGTTGTAAGGAAGATAATCAAATGGTAAATAGAGTTAAGATTTAGATTTTTCTATTAAGATAGATTGCTGGTGATTAGATGGGTAACTTGACATAGACATAGGGAAATTAAAAGCTGTTTAAAATGATTCAACATCTACCACACAATATTTAATTCAATGTAAGACTTTTTAAGGGCTAAATATTAGTTTTTGAAATGTAAGCCATTTTAAGACACTGCAGACACATTTAAGCTCAAAGAACATGAAGTCACCCTTCTGTATCAAATGAGCTCTGATTTGACCATCTGTTGATTTAACCAATAAGTAGGCCCACATGGAATCTGCACGTGCAGAATTACGTACATTTTTAGGCCATCATTAATTCTGTTAAATGTATCCAGTTTTTAAATGAATTACAGTAATATTATTGATTAATGTGAAAATGTTCATCTGACTTATGTACAATGCAGTTTGTACAGTAATATTTTCTGTCTTTTAGTAGAGCTATTATATGAGACTTGCTTTGTTTACCAAATAAAGTGGATCTAATTGGATTTGCATTTTAAACATTAAAGTTAAAAATATATATTTTTTTTATTTCACATATTAAGGCTTTAATTATGATACTCCTAAAATAATTCAGCAAAAATTCGCAGAATTTTACCAAAATTCTCAGCAGAAATAGCAAAAAAAACATTCGCAGATTCCATCTGGCCCTGCCAATAAGCGAGAGAAGCACCTAATAAATACCTAGAAGTATAAATTATGCCTATAAATTATATATTACATCATTTTCTATCATATTTTGTATGGTGAGGGGTTCAGCAAATAAAAATTAAAACAAAATTATCACATCTGCGCCAATTTGTCCCCCACTCCCAATCATGGAGCAGTCCAGCAGTCAAATCAGGTTTAGTTTGTAAAACAGAATAGATTCTTTATTATTTTTAGATGTTTAGATGAAGTTTAAGACAAGAAAATAATTTAAAATGTAGCGATTGTATTACAATAAAATAGAATATGAGATTGAGCATATATATATATATATATATATATATATATATATATATATATATATACCCCCTATGAAATAGTTTTTCTTTTTAAAATATTTTCCAAATTATGTTAAATAGAGCAAGGAAATTTTCACAGTATGTTTGATAATATTTTTTCTTCTGGAGAAAGTCTTATTTGCTTTATTTTAGCTAAAATAAAAGCAGTTTTTAATTTTTTAAAAACCATTTTAGGAATAAAATTATTAGCCCCTTTAAGCAGTTTCTTCCCGAATAGTCTACAGAACAAACCATCGATATACAATAACTTGCCTAATTACCCTAACCTGCCTAGTTAAGCTTTTAAATGTCTCTTTAAGCTGTATAGAAGTGTCTTGAAAATATATAGTAAAATATTATGTACTGTCATCACGGCAAATATTAAATAAATCAGTTATTAGATATGAGTTATTAAAACTATTATGTTTAGAAATGTGTTAAAAAACATCCTCTTTCTGTTAAACAAAAGTCAGGGAAAAAATTAAATGGGGGCTAATAATTCAGGGAGTTTAATAATTCTGATTGCAACTGTATATATATATATATATATATATATATCATCACGGGGCTGGAATTGCTTACGATCCTCAAATCACTAAATCCGCCCCAGGATTTGACAACCAAAGATGAACAGAATTAATGTCAAGTCATGTCAAGCTTATTGCGCTATGTGTGTGGCTATTAAGTAGAGAAAAAAAAAAGTCATGTCATGAAGGACCACAGTGCACCGTGAATAAACACAATCACAAATAAATACACAAGCCCAAGGCTGAAATTGTGCCACTCACCAACTGAACCCAATGTGTTTGCCCATGTGGCACCTTGGCGGGTCACCATGTTTAGGATTCTGAATTGGAGAGAAGAATGGAGATTAGGAGTTTACAATAAACTCACAATTGACTCAAATCACTAATGACTTTTATTCTGTTTATGCCAACACAATTAAAACTGACAAGTCTCGCAAAACAGCTCCTTAATATCTTATTAGTCTATATATATATATATATATATATATATATATATATATATATATATAAAAAAGCTGTTCTTTGTATGGCTTTTCTCCAGTCTCATCATGAATCAGCTCCTAGTGTGTCTGGGTAGAATCGTTCAATATGAACTTCTATGAACAGTGTCAGTCTTTAGGAGAACGGTATCTCGCCATCAGATTATAGCAGGATGATTATGTTCTTTTTTCTCCAAAATATGCAATAAATCTGCTGACAGTGGCGGCATTTGCACGTGCTGACAGAAGAGATGTAAACTTTGGCCTATTGTACTTATGTGTCGACCAAAGAGCTGCATGTAAACAGTCTTTAATGCAGCCTTGACCACATGATGCTTCGGGCTGCACAGGTGTGTACACACAGATGAAATGGAGAGCTATTGATTTATAACAGCTGGTAAAATTTTAACATCAGTGTTGTCAAAAATACTGATCCTGAAATATTTAAAATGATCAGCTTTTGGTTAGTACTGATACTGGCTTTTCTCTCACACACTCAGCAGAAGACAGATGAAATAACAATATTAGGATTTTAACACTGGAAATAAGATGAGATTGCAGTAGTTTAGCTTTTATTTTGTAATTTATCTTGCCTTTTAGATTTAAGGACAGCTGTTGATTGTTTAGTTTTTTCCGATTTTTCTTTCATGTATATTTTTTTAATGTAGCGAAATTTGCACAGTATCAAAAATGGTATCAAATATTGATATTTTTCAAGGTATCGTATTGAAGTTGGAAATTCCAGTATCGAGACGAGACTAATCAACATGTTTCAGAATGAAACATAAAATGTACAAAACATGCACTTCTGATAAGGAAAGTTTTATTACTGTTTAAGATAGTTTTAATATTGCACAATTTATTTCCCATAGTAACGAAAGCGGTATCGAATATCGTTTTTTTTCAAGGTATCGTATTGAAGTTGGAAATTCCAGTATCGTGACAACACTACTCAACACATATCAGAATAAAACATAAAATGTACAAAATATGCACTTCTGATAAGGGCTGAACAATATATCGCAAATTTATCGTTATCGGAATAATACAATATTTGTATCGCAGACATACGATAAATTACATTCTATGCATTAGTTGTTTATCTACATTTGGACTTATGATCTGCTGATGTACCTGGTATAAGCATTACATGGTTTCGTTTTTGCCTTTTTTACTTTATTTGAATACTTTAAATATTGTTATATTATATTATATTATATTATATTATATTATATTATATTATATTATTTATTCCCCACAGTATTAAAAATTGTATTAAATATTGATATTTTTAAAGGTATCATATTGAAGTTGGAAATTCCAGAATCGTGACAACACTAATCAAGATGTATCAGTATGAAACGTAAAATGTACGAACTATGCACTTCTGATTAGGGCTGCACAATGCATCTCAAAATTATCGTTATCGCAATAGGAGTAAATGCAACATTCATATTGCAGACGTGATAAATTAAATTCTATACATTAACGTCTGCTGACATACTTGGTACAAGAATTATATGGTTTACATAGGCTGCAAACGATGGGTTGCAAACTTTGGCCTAGTGTACTTATGTGACTTCCTAAGAGCTGCATGTCAAACAGTCTTTAATGCAGCCTTGACCACATGATGCTTCGGGCTGCACAGGTGTGTACACACGGATGCAATGGAGAGCTATTGATTTATAACAGCTGGTAAAACTTCAACATCAGTGTTGTCAAAAATACTGATCCTGAAATATTTAAAATGATCAGCTTTTGGTTAGTACCGATTCTGGCTTTTCTCTCACACACTCAGCAGAAGACAGATGAAATAACAATATTAGGATTTTAACTCTTTTCAATTAGCAAATGAAACCCTTATCATAAAGTACTTATTTTAGAATTCAATAATAATAAATGAAGTTACATCTTGAACCTTAAAACTGCGACTCAAATGATTAATCCAGGCCTGATAACAGTTGCAAAAACTCAAACATTGACAGAAGGTTAGCCAAGTGTTGTAATATCAGCTGTCTCAATCATTAGTCTTGATCTTGAGTGTCCGTTGTGATCGGTTTTCTTCTCCACTGCTTGATGTCGCAATCTTTACGCATATGAAAGCCACAAACTGACAAAAAAGTGCATGTGACAGTGGAATGTGGTGCAGCACAACAAACTGAGAAAAACCCAAATAAACCCAACACTGCCGAGCTCAGTCTGGTTTATCTGCCTACTCATATTTCCTCTGAAGTCACGGAATATCCCTTTCATATGTTTCCTGGAGACACCTTTAGGAAATAGCTCTCTGGTCCTACATTGGCAGTGGGCATACTGTGGTGAACACTGCCCTCTGCTGGTGACTTTATTCAACTCTGCCTAAAACATGAAGGAGAGCAAACTATATATACAGAAGAAGTCATGATAATAAGCCCTCCTGAGTTGTTAGCCCCCCTGTATTTTTCCCTGAATTCTGTGTAATGAAAATACGATTTCTTCCAACACATTTCTAATCATAATAGCTTTAATAACTCATTTCTAATAACTGATTAATTTGATCTTTGCCATGATGACAGCACATAATATTTGTTATTATAGTTATTTTTCAACATACTAGTATTCAGCTTAAAGTGACATTTAAAGGCTTAACTAGGTTAATTAGGCAAGTTAGGGTAATAAGGCAAGTCATTGTATAACGATGGTTTGTTCTGTAGACAATCGAAAACAAATATTGCTTAAGGGGGCTAATAATATTGATCATAAAATGCTTTAAAAAAAATTAAAAACTGCTTTTATTCTAGCCTAAATAAAGCAAATAAGACTTTCTACAAAAGAAAAAAATATTATAGGAAATACTGTGAAAAATTCTGAGTCTGTTGAATATCATTTGGGAAATATTTAAAAAAAAAAAAAAATAATAATAATAATAATAATAATAATAATAATAAATTTTAATCTCCTATTTACTGCATGAAAAAATATTTTACATTCTAAATTAAAATATAATAATTACATTATTATTATTTATTTTTAATTGTCTGGTAAAAAATATTATTATTTGAAGAAATTATAATATGATCATGACATCATTAATAATAATTACATATAAAAAGGTTGACGTTATGAAACCAACTTACAGATGTCTGGTGAAAAAAAAATAAATTAACAAACTATAATAAAACCCTATAATAGCATCTAAAATGCTACTGTGTTTATTTCTTCAAACTTGTGTCGGTTTGAGAAATCTGAATGGTTTGTGTAATAACACATTAAGTTTTGACATCATAATTGCATTTTAAGTATCAAATATTGTACTTCAAATATTCCTCATTACCACTAATTCATTCAATTGTAACAAGTGCTGTAACTACCTACTTTTAGGTAATAAATTGTAGTGTACAGGTAGCTAACTACTTTTTTAGATGGGTAGTTTCACAGTAGTTTATTGACTTTAACTGACGAGTAGCTTGTAGTTTCAAAACAGCTTCCTCAACACTGACTAACAGACTGTCACAAACGGTAACTGCAATTCAATGCAGCTTCAGTACTTACTGCACATTTTGAGGTTTGGACCAAGCCATGTTTCTAGTTTCAGACAAGCCCATTCTAAGTCCATTCACAGCCCCACATAGAGCACCTGCATGCAAATACAAAGACTGTAAATGTCATGTAAATAAAGTTTCGGATTTGTTTTTTGCTTTTTTCCTTTTAGAAAATGTGAATAAATAAACTATTAAAATTAAATTAATCAAAAGCAAATACTAAGGCATTTTCCTAAATGGCATACACATGAGTATAGGACAAAAATCAGTTAGTAAGCAAAAAACAAAAGTGTAATACAGCTTTAATCATACATGTTTTACTGTGACTACACTAAAGTGCCGTGTCGTGTAATAATAGTTAAAAACTTAAGAAGCTTATTTAAAACAAGAATAATATAATGACATATTAAAGATATTTAAATATTACAGTGACCTTAAATATTATATTTCTTTATATAATATTATTATTATATTCATTATATTTCTATATTATTTGTATTTATAAAATCTGCTTTTCTACTATCATTCCGAACCGTTCTAAGAACACATATCCCCGGTTTCACAAACAAGGTTTAAGGCTAGTCTAGATTAAATTGCATGTTTGAGCTGTCTCAACTCAAAATAACTTGCGGTGGGATGTCTTAAAATACGTCAGTGTCATTTTTTGTCTCCAGGTGCACACCAGTACTATATTTTTCTAAGGCCATTTTTATGAATGTGGCTTAAATAGCCTAATTTAACTAAGGCCTAGGCCTGGCTTAATCTAAGCCCTGTTTGTGTTATATATATGTATCTCATATATATATATATATATATATATATATATATATATATATATATATATATATATATATATATATATATATATAAACACACACACTACCTGACAAAAGTCATGTCGCCCATCCAAGTTTTGGGAACAACAGATAACTTCTAGTTAATCATTTGGTACTGGAAGTGGCTTATATGAAAAGGCAAAGACCTCTAGATTCTAAAAAATTCTAGAAAAAGTATGAATATTGTGTCTGACTCCATCATGAGCTTGTAGGACTGCATCCATATATCTCTGCAATGACTCAAATCACTTATTGATAAAGTCATCTGGAATGGCAAAGAAAGCGTTCTTGCAGGACTCCCAGAGATCATCAAGATCCTTTAGATTCATCTTCAACGCCTCCTCCTCCATCTTACCCCAGACATGCTCACTAATGTTCATTTCTGGTGACTGGGCTGGCCAATGACCTTCTTTGCTTTCAGGAGCTTTGATGTGGTGGCTGAAGTATGAGAGGGAGCGCTATCCTGCTGAAGAATTTGCCCTCTCCTGTGGTTTGTAATGTAATGAATGTAACCCCAAACCATGATTTTTCCTTCACCAAATTTGACTGATTTCAGTGAGAATCTTGGGTCCATGCGGGTTCCAGTAGATCTTCTGCAGTATTTGTGATCATTGGTATGCAGTTCAACAGATGATCTACCTTTTGTCAATTTTCCAAATGATCAACTAGAAGTCAAGTTAATATTTGTTGCTCCTACAACTGGGATTAACAACTTCTGTTAATCACATAAAAATAATAAATAAAAAAGTTTTATTTTGCCCAGCAATAATAAACGTACATAAATATGTGTTATGTTAAGTGATATTTTGACATTATAGTTTCACAAAAGCTATTTGAAGCATTAACACTCCACTTGCATTTAGTAGGCTTTCTATGTATAGAAAAATCAACAAAATGTGAACACCAAATGACAACACAACATGGCGAGATTGACTGCAGATGTGGACTGTTACCTGTGATGCAACACCCTCCAATCGTAAAGAAGGCCAGCTCAAATCGTCCTCTTGTTTTATTTGCTCCAGTGGGTAAAATGAACTCATCGGTATCCTGCGAGAACATCACAGTCAATACATACATTAAATCTTAAAATATTAAACTACAATTAATGCCAGTTGTGCTTTTGGGTTCCATGAGTTTTCAGATATCGCTTCTTACAGTGCATCCAGAAAGAATTCATGGCGCTTCACTTGTTCCAAATTTTTTTTTTATGCTACAGACTTATTCCAAAATGGATTCAACTCATTTATTTCCTCAACATTCTACACAAAATATCCCATAATGACAATGTGAAAAAAAGAGTTTTTGAAATTGTTGCAAATTTATTCGAAATAAAAATAAATCACATGTACATAAGCACTCACAGCCTTTGAAATGAAGCTCTAAGTTGAGCTCAGGTACATTCAGTTTCCACTGATCATTCTTAAGATGTTTCAGCAGCTTCACTGGAGTTCACCTGTGCTAAATTCAGTTGATTGGACATGATTTGAAAAGACATACACCTGTCTATATAAGGTCCCAGGGTTGACAGTGCATGTCAAAGCACAAACCAAGACAAAAGAATTGTCTCGAGGCACAAGGCTGAGGAAGGTTACAATAAAGGTTGAAATGAAGCTTTCTGAACAGGAAGCGATCAACCCAATCGAATCGGAAAAAGGCTCAAAGCTTTCTAAATCAGAGCTCGATGAGGACCTCTTCTGGTTAAAGTGTGGGAAAGCACTGTGTTGCAATAATGTCAAACGTTCAAAACTGACCAACTCATTTACGTAGTAATCCTACAACAGTAATATAAACACATTACTCAATTACTGTCGTTTTTACACATAAGGTATGTTACATTAAACCACCTATGACTGCAGTAAAATCCAAGCTATTCAAAAGTATTTACAACTAGTCCTTCACCCACCCACTCGTTTCAAGCAAGGATCGAATCAGCGATTCCTGCATGGGAGGCAAATGCTCTAGGAGGAGGCTTTGTGAGTGATACACTGGACTGCACTCGCCAGCTGGCCTCCGTTAAACACTAAACTATGATATGCAGTGATTTCCTTTAAAGATGGTTGTAAAAAAAATACGCTATTACACTTAAGTATGATTCAAAACCTTTTTACTATAAATTACTATTGTATTTTAATTTAATTGCAGGTGTGTGGGATGGGTGCAGTGCTTTGAAACAGTAGAAATGTACTGTATGTAATCGACGCCTAATCTCTCGCTATACAAGCCCATGAGGGTGTTTAAACCTTTGAATCAAAATTTGAAGCAGTCACGTGGGAATAGACGAAAATGAAGCTTTGGAAGTCACAGATCACGTGATGATGGCAAAACGAATCAAGCTCCGGTACACTGCTTCACTGCAAGATGTATCTCTTTTTTGATGCATGCTTCAAAAAGCCTCAGCGCACAACGTCACATCTTTAATCTCAATCCTTTTCCAGCACTTAACAACCACAGTAAATTATGTTTATATATGCTGTATGTATTTTTTTACATTTAAATCCATTGTGCTATATTAAAAAACACAATAGCACATTTTAACTTAAATTGCTGAATAGTTTAGAACACAGGTGTCAAACTCAGTTCCAAAAGGGCCGCAGCTCTGCACAGTTTAGTTCCAACCCTAATTAAACACACCTGATCAAACTAATTGAGTCCTTCAGGCTTGTTTGAAACCTACAGGTAAGTGTGTTGGAGCAGGGTTGGAACTAAACTGTGCAGGGCTTCGGCCCTCCAGGAATTGAGTTTGACACCCCTGCTTTAGAACATGGATTTATTGGAAGATTTCACCCAAAAATGGTAAAAAATTTCAAATAAATAAATAAATAAATAGAAAAAGTTCAGTTATTAAATATCTTTTTAAGTTTTGGTCTCGTTCTTACTGTCAGATTTTGTTTGGGTGTAGTACCAAACTTTCATGACCAGTCGCTTATGATATTTCATGTGCATTCCTATTCAATGTAACAAATTAAATCCTTATGGGTCCGAGCCATTCACTGTAAAGCCTGAGGGATGGAGTTTGCAGGTAGCAGCATTTGCCACACATTTTAATCACGAGATGTTGTATTTAATCTATTATTTATTTGTCAAAATGTTGTCAGTCGTGCAACTGCAGCGCAAAAGGGATTGCATTCACTAAGATTTACTTAATATTGAAGCTAATGAAAAGACCGCTTCTGCTATTAAGAAGACATTTGCAAATAATAAGTTACATATCAACCGTTTTAAACTATTTCTAAGTGTGTTTGCCGTGTTTAGGAAAACATTTTGCGTGACTGTCTCAGTAGCAATTTCAAGCTCTGCAATTTCAAATTTAAGCAGGTTCAGGCAAATTGACCAAAATCCAAATACTTTTCTAACTTGAAAACACTATATTAAAAATCAAGCATTTCCTCAGGATTTCCAGCACCTGTACAAACCCTGTGCATGTGAAAGCAACTGAGTATGGTTGACAAAGGAATTGTCTTGAGGCACAAGGCTGGGGAAGGTTACAGAAAATATCTGGTGTTCTGAAAGTTCCAATGAGCACAGTGACCTCCATCATCCGTAAGTGGAAGATTTTCTTTTAGTCCAACAGCCTTATTTCAATAACTCTAACCCATTGAACAGAAAAGGTGAACAACAGTGTCATAATAAATAAAAATATAGTTAAACATCACATTATGTTTTTGCTTGTCGCATGTAGTTGACAATTTATGTGCTTTGAGTAAAGGATGTGTTTCAATCAAGCTACCACCATCAAGGTGTTAAAGACTACTAGAGACTATTAAGCTGGTGTGAGTTAGAGGTGGTTGGAGCCAAACTATGCAGAGCTATGGCCCTCCAGGAATGGAGTTTGAGACCACTGGACTAAGCCGAAAATAAAATAAATGAATGAATGTTGTTTTGAAGTCATGCTTGCATGTGATTTCAGATCAAATATTCAAAGCACTGTGGTAAACAATATAGGGAACATGTCAAAACCAACTTTACATCAATTCATGTGAAACGTCCATGAATGAAATGTATTATTATTACCTCACCTGTATGAGATACCTGGGGTCCACGTTAAGATATGGAGAGATTGGACTCATGCCTGTCACTGTTAAGAAGAGCAAACTTGTGTAAGCTTTTTTATTGCAATAACAACAAGCCATTACAACAAATAGAAATACAAAACTGATAGAAGTATCCTACAAGCAATACAAATATTAGTTTTTTGCAACAAGAGAAATGTAACTATTTTAAAATAAATTTAATAAAGATACAGCAGAAAAAAGACAAAGAGAGAGAAAAAATAAAGGGCAAATGACAAAAATAAAACGAATTAATGCAGAATATTAAATAAAACACGTGTTTAAGTTTTACTTGCTTTCTTGTTGTCAGAGTGTGTGATGGTTCATAAATACAGTTTAAATTCTTATTTAAAAAATAAAATGTTTGGCTTAAATTGAGCATATTTGCATTTGTGTAAAAAAAAACTTTCCAATAAATAAAATGAGGTTTGTGCAAAAAGTTTAATTAAGGAGTTGTTTTTCTATACTATAAAACCCTAAAACAACATGTCTATAACTTAAAGAAAAATCACGGCAAACCTTTTGGACAATCAGAGAATTCACATCAGACCAGAAAGATTTAACAAAGGGACAATCCCAAAATAAGTGAGCAATAGATTCAGAAGAAGCCTCACAGAAAGAGCAAGACACGTCAATGTCATTTTTGAATTTTTGTAAAAAATTGTTTGACTGGATAAAATATGTGAATAATTTAAAAAATATTTCTTAAATTTAATTTGTTAAAAAAATTAATTCTGGGGAGTGACCAAACATACGACTATTTAATATCATCAAAGAGGTTGTTTCAATAAGAAATAGAAGAAGGGTTTGAGATGACAAGGTAAAAAAATAAAGACCTGATTTTATGATTGGATTTTTTTGTGGAGAAACAAATGGATCCAACAACAGTAGAATCAGGACAAAGGGAACAAACAGAAATTAATGAATTATTATTATTTCTAAGCTTCTCAATATGTCCACTTTGTAGTATGTAAAAGGTTTACTAACGTGGCACTCCGGCGAGCTCTGCCTTTGAATACTGTGGTCCAGCAGATCCAAACAGACCGAATCCTGCTGGGTTTCTCGAACCTGACGAGTCTTTATCCATCCCTGAATTCAGATGTTCGTGCACCTATTGTACTCTATTAAACATTTAAAGATATGACAAACTCGGTGAAACTGCTTTGCGAAACTACTTACTGTTAGCAAGCAAATGTACAACAAATGTACCGTTAATCTGTTCCTTAATGAGCTTTAATTTAGCAGGTCAGTGGTAATAAAGTCAAATCAGGACTACAACGTCTTGAGCTTAAGTTCATTTGGAGGTTAAACTTTGCAGTCGCTTTTCTAAAAACACAATTAAATGGTTTAAAAGCTCAATGTCTTCACAGAAATCATGCTAGCACTGCATGGGCAAATGTTCAACCTGATGCTCCTCTTGTTTGCCGTAAAGCAAGTTGTGTGCGGTCGCTGAGCTGCCAACTGTTCACGACAGGTTCTCCTCCATAAAACCAGCGTAATCCATTTATTGTTTTATGATATAAAAAAGAACAGCAAAAGTTATGATTGGGAAAACTGTGTTTGTTAAACATTCTTGGAATTGGATACCTTTACCGAAGCAAATCGCGACTGTTTTTTTACGACAGCAAAATGATTTCTGGCCAGATTAATGCGTATGGATTGTATGGATAGTAAAGATGAAACAGAACAGTCGATAAATTGTGCTGTGGTTACTAAATTAAATAAATGTATTTTTCTAAGGGACAAATAATGGGTATTCATTATTAAAGCCTAACGATAGGTAAAAAAGCAAAAGTGTTTTACTGTTTTCAAACTAATTGTTATTCGTTTTATTTCACATATGACTATAAAACATGTATTATTGTTATATATATATATATATATATATATATATATATATATATATATATATATATATATATATATATATATATATATATATTATGTAAAATAAAAAAACATGTAAAGTAAGTGTAAAAAATATAGAAATTAATAAATATTCATGCTTCTTTTAAATGTACAATTATTATTATTTATCTATTTTACTTTGTTTACATTTTTTGTATTTCTATTACACATTGTTTACAAGTTTACAATTTTTTATAGATAAACATTATTTTTTGCTATTACATTAATGCAAAATTATATATATATATATATATATATATATATATATATATATATATAGATAGATAGATAGATAGATAGATAGATAGATAGATAGATAGATAGATAGAGTGCTCAGCAAATATAAGTACACCCCTCAAAATTCTCTCTTTTAAATTTATTAATTTTTTTAATAGGAAACTATACCATATTATATTTGTGCATATACATTAGATTAGTCAGTACTGAAGCCAAATCTGAACCTAAAATAAAAAATAAAAAAAAACTTACAATAACGGTCCAAAAACTAGTACAGCCAAATTTATGTTTAGAAAAATTTATAAATTCATTTATTTTATTTTCGGCTTAGTCCCTTTATTATTCAGGGGTCGCCATAGCGGAATGTACCACCAACTTACCTCCAGCACGTGTTTTACGCAGCGGACGCCTTCCAGCCGCAACCCAACACTGGGAAACACCCATACATTCTTACACTTATACACATACACTACGGCCAATTTAGCTTATTCAATGTTATACATAAATACTAAATTAAAAAAAGAGGAAAAATTAAGAGAAGAAAAATGTCAAAATTTAGCTGAAATTTTGCAGGTTGTAATTGTTTTTTCGCAACATTTAGCTTGAATTTACTTGTATTATCTTACAATTTGTAAATATGTTTGGTGACTAAAATAGTATTTTGATAAATATATCTATATAATAATTTTGTTTTGTTTAAATACACCAAAATACATGGTCTATATTAACTGAGAAATTGATAAAAATATCTATTACTAATAATGTTTTATCAAACAAGTGTTTTAACACAAGGGAATGCGGAAGTCGATCCACATGTTATCAACATCAGCGGTGACGCGCCAGGCAGGGAAAAAAAGTGACATCCGTGACGACATCTGCGATGATCTGACAGAGGTGCGGCAGAACCGAACCGATTTCCAACGACCAAACAGCACATTTAATACCCGGTAAATACTTAACAATACAATATCACCGACTTAGCGCAGTGTAACATGAGCGAGGAGCGCACGCGTTCGGTTAGTCAACAAATGAAGTGAGTCACAGGGACAGGAAGACGCGCTGTGATATTGTACAGCTCTTACAGTGTCTGTATTGAGGAATTTAAATGCATCTGAGATCATGCAGCCACACCGGCCATATGTCACTCTCTGAGCCTCGCTCACTAATAAAACCGGAAGATTAGACTACGCTCTTTCTGACCTTAATTTGTGCTGTTATTGCTCCAAGAGAGGCATCGTTGATTACCAGCACGTTAATGTTAACCGGTCAACGGGGATTTTAACACTGAATGGGCTCAGGTATTGTCGATCATCTGCCATGCATACATGAAATGGTCAGTGCTTATCATTTACATGTTTGAGCGACTGTAAGTACGAGTTGGTTCAGTAAAACTGGCCGCGTTACAGAAAGTACATCTTGTACACACCGTATTCAGTTTCATTTGTGTGTGTGTGTGTGTGTGTGTGTGTGTGTGTGTGTGTGTGTGTGTGTGTGTGTGGGCCTCGGTGTGATATACACGCTTAGATCGTCTGCCTGTGATGTTGGATGTATGTGCAGTTTTATGGCGGGCCGACCGACCGAGTCCTGGCCATTATAATGTGTGTACATTCAGACTGTACCGCCCCGAAGGTCAGAGTGTTTTCTGCCTTCATTTTATCCCCCAAACGTTCTTGAGGTCGGACACTTTCCACACGAGCGACGTTAAATGTTCTTAAAAGCAAAAATACAGTAGGGTTTGCAGCCCTGTTTAATCCTTTCCCACAATGCACCGTGTCAATGCACAGTTTCCTGTTTACCGTTGCAACGCTTTTGTTTCGCATATTTCCCTTTATTGTAGATGTTTAAGCGAATTGTTTGGGATTTACTTTATCACAATCTAACAAAGTCGGTGAGTTTTTAAGTAAGGCGACCGTAAACAATCGAACATGGCGAGACTTTGCTGATGAGGAAATGCCCTGCCGCGAATGTCCGCTTTCATTTTACTCTTCTTCGACATGTCGCGGGGTTGACAGGGTTTGCTCGAACTGCTAAACGATTCGAAAGAGCCGCTTCTTAAAATCGAAGTGATTCATTTTGATGGTTTAAATGTCAGAATGATTTGTTTAGGAGGTTCACTTAATGTCAGGGCGTTCGGGCGTTCTCCCTGTTTTACAATCAGGATGTACCTTTAAATGTCATAAATGTTTGCTGAATGTCAGAGTTATTCCTTATTTAACGTGTTCTGTAAATGCCTCTACACAACGGTAAATGTCAGAAATGTCAGTGTAAACCCTTCTCTAAATACACTCACCGGCACTTTATTAGGTACACCTTACCTGTAATGTGTTGGACCCCCCTTTTGCCTTCAGAACCGCCTTAATCCAATTTAATAAGGTGCTGGAAATATTCCTCAGAGATTTTGCTCCACATTGACATGGTAGCATCACACAGTTGCTGCAGATTTGTCGGGTGCACATCCATGATGCCAATCTCCCGTTCTACCACATTCCGAAGCTGCTCTATTGGATTGAGTTCTGGTGACTGTGGAGGCCATTTTAGTACAGTGAACTCATTTTCATGTTCAAGAAACCAGTCTGAAAGGATTCGCACTTTATGACACAGTGCATTATCCTGCTGGAAGTATCCATCAGAAGATGGGTACACACTGTGGTCATAAAGAGAGGGACATGGTCAGCAGCAATACTCAGGTAGGCTGTGGCTCTGACACCATGCTCAACACCATCACCAGCAGCCTGAACTGTTGATTCAAGGCAGGATGGATCCATGCTGTCATGTTGTTGATGCCAAATTCTGACCCTACCATTCGAATGTCGCTGCAGAAATAGACTCATCAGACCAGGAAAGGTTTTACAATCTTCTATTGTCCAATTTTGGTGAGCCTGTGTGAATTGTAGCCACAGTTTCCTGTTCTTAGCTGACAGGAGTGGCACCCGGTGTGGTCTTCTCCTGCTGTAGTCCATCCGCCTCAAGGTTGGATGTGTTGTGCGTTCAGAGACGCTCTTCGGCAGAGTTACCGTTGTCTTTTGCGTCAATGAGCAGTTCGACAGGTGTACCTAATAAAGTGGCCAGTGAGAGTATGAGTGAGTTGTGGAACATTTTGCTCAACTATTAATGATGTAGATATATTCAGGGTTCATTAGACTCTAGTCATGGAGAAAGAAACAAATGTCCATGTAAGACGAAGTATATATTATATTATATTATATTATATTATATAAGATTAAATTACATTTTATTATAAGATTAGATTATATCAGGGGTCACCAACCTTTTGGAAACTGAGAGCTACTTCTTGGGTACCGATTAGTCTGAAGGGCTACCAGGTATTAAATAACACATTTTTCTTAATTTACTTTTAGTTATATGTTATTATGTTATTACTAATAATTAATTAATAATTAATAATATTCATCTATGTGAAGACATTGATCATGTTAATGATTTCTCAAAGATATTTTTTTTAAATATATAACTTAAAGTAATTTTCAAATTTGCACCAGTGCAAGTGTGATTTAATGTTGGTGACCCCAGGATTATATTTTCTCATAGAAATCAGCTTGCATGTTTTTTTTTTTTTTCCCAATAACCTGCTACTGATGAAGTAATATTATATCAAAGACATTACACACTCACACAAAAGATCTCACAGAAGCTTTTTATTAATGTTTGGTGATTTATTTTTATTTTTTATTTATTTATTTTATTTATTTTTATTTTTTATAATTTCTATTTTTTTTATTAAAAAAATATTTTATTTAATAAATTTTTTTTTGCATACATAATGCCTAATAATGCGTCATAATTGTAGTCGTAATCGTAATTAAGCTGTAAGAAATCTGCCATTTTCTGTTGATTTTAATTAGGGCTGCACGATTTTGGAAAACTGACATTGCCATATTTTATTTTTCTGCCATATATATTGCAATATTGAGTATACTTTTACCAGATGAAATGAACGGCTCTATTTGGAAATAATTCATAATTTTAGATCAGTTGGGATGTAGTTTAGTGCATCTGCATGAAATAAAAAAAAGATGCAATGAAATGCACAGAATTTTATGGTTTTCTGGGAGTGTAGCAGGCAAAATAACAATAAACAAATGTAAAGTATCACTGTATAGTCTACATCGTATAAATACAATTAATATTTTTTTTTAAGTTAAAAGCATTATAATTTTTTCATAATTATTTTTTAGGAGTTTTTACCTTTATTATTGTATAGGAAAGTAGAGAGTATTGACTGGAAAGCATGGGGAGCAGATAGAGGGGAAGGATCGGCATAGGACCGCGAAGCAGGAATTGAACATGGGTCGGCCGACTAAGCATTATAATTTCTTGGCTGAATATTTTAAACTGGTTTAAAATGCTCACAGAGCTTAAAAACAAACGCAAATAATAACAATTTTGCCGGGAATCCACAAATCACGTATGTTTTCAATTGTGAAAATCCTAACTCGACATTGGAGATCCTGCAATGTGACTATTGCCGACGGGCACATTGCTGTGTTGATGCTGAGACGATATATTGTGCAGCCCTAATTTTAATGCATTACCTAACATTTACTAATGAGACTTCATTGTGAACTGCTATCTATTGTACTTTGTAATCCTTTACCAGTTTAATTTGATTGTAACATTTGCTTGATCTGAACGTATACAATAAAGCAATACACTAAATCTATTTTGTTATTCCTGTTAAAGCATTTCTGTATGAATTGTTTTGCAGCTTAGGTCAATATCGTGATAATAACATGATAAAAGCTTCAACAATAAATTGCAACAAGAAAATACATTTTATACTGCCATTTGGAGAGATTTAGTTTGAAATGACGTCACATCAGGCCAGACATGCATGTTGTCTGATGCACGTGTGTTATTGCTGCTGGTACTGTTTAGTCAAACTCAAGGGTTTGTTTTTTGTTTCCTGCCAGGATTTGCCGAGGTGTAAATTAAGTCTGGTATACGCCCCTGCACCCTAGCGAGAAAACAACAGAAGGGGCGTGAAGATCAGCCCTAATGGAAGAGATCGAAACAGAGCTGACCTGCTCCGAGCAGGAAGCTTTAGGAGCAGACTTCATCACAGTGGAGCTGGACACACAACCCATCGAATATGTGGTCAAATGGGCCGAGGCGGGCTCCAAATTCACCATCGCCTGCGTGAAGAAGGATTTGGAAGAGGCTGGCTGCTTCACCTCCGATCAGATGGTGAAGGTGGATCCAGATGAGACCTTCTTTGTCCCGTACGAATCGGTGTATCCCGAGTGTGACGATGTCGATACGGAACTGATCGCCACTCACGAGGAGGAAGTAGGAAGCGAGTTAGACTTCGACAACAGCACAGAAACTGTGAACAGCCAGCTCTGCGAAGAAGAGGATATTTCCGACATCTCTTGGGAGAAGGAGGTGTCTCACCCTAGAACCTACAACTGCCACTTTTGTGGGAAGAGCTACAGCCATTCCTCCAGTCTCGCCCGCCATCTGCACACACACACGGACAGACCGTCGCTCGCTTCCTCGAAAGATGTCAGCAAGTTATGCGACGGCAAGAAAGCTCTACAGTGCAACCTCTGCGGGGTCAGATGCAACGGCAAGCGGCTTCTGGCGATACACAAGAAATGCCACAAAACCAAAAGACTGCACACGTGCAACACGTGCGGCAAAACCTTCAATCACAGCTCCAGTTTGTCGCGGCATCGACTAATCCATAAAAAAGGTTTGGATAAAATCGCTAGGCCATTATACCCCACCCCCACCCCAGCTCCCATCATGACCCAGCACAGTTTCCCATCGGCCGCAAATAAACGAATGGCTGAACGAGAGAAGCAATACCAGTGTGCGCAGTGCGACAGGGTCTTCAGCCACTCCGCCAGCCTCTCCAAGCACCAAGTCGCGCATGTGCGTCAGCTGCTGAACTCCTACACGCATGGAAAAGACAAGTCCTCGGATCTGAAGATCCGTCTGAAGCTGTGCTCCCGCGACAAGCCCAACTACTACACCCTGTGCAAGAAGAACAAGCACAGCAAACGGGGCAAGAAGAGGCTGTACTTACCCAATGAGGAGAGGCCGTACCCCTGTCGCATGTGCGACAAGCGCTTCAGCCACACCACCAGCCTGTCTCGGCACGAGCACATGCATGCTAGCGATAAGCGATACGCCTGCGACGTCTGCAAGAAGACCTTCGTCCGGCAGTCCAACCTCAAGCAGCACCAGCAGACGCACGCTTCCGGCAAGCTCTATCATTGCCAACAGTGCGGGAAGACTTTCGTTCACTCCTCCAGCTTCTCGCGCCATAAGAAGGTGCACGCGGCCATGAGGTTTTCCCCAATGGAGGAGGACATTACGTGTGAAGAGGAGCTGGTGATCGACGAGGCCGCTCCGCTTGAATATGAATCCGAGTGAGAGACTTTTCCCAACACAAATGTTCTGATGGATGTTCCTTTTTAAATCACTCATTAGGGATGTCAAGGGTACCGACTTCGGTAGAAATCGGTGCTGAAATTTAAAGAAACGAAAACATTTGAGTGCAGGACAGGTTCTTAAAGGGGCAGTTCACCCACAACTAGTGTTGTTATGATACTGAAATTTCAGTGACAAATTGGTACTGAAATTTTAAAAATGTTCATTTCATGCTAACATTTGAGCGTGTTTATAAACACCCCTGATTTGCCATTATGTTTGCGTGCTCAACAGAAATGATTGTTTACAGTTTACACGGATATAAGGACACCGGAGCATTTCAAAACCTCAAAAATAAGCTGACATATGAGCAAGCCGCTGATGGATCAACTGATATTCGCGGCATTAAAACAGTCCAGTGTCCCTATATCTGCGTTTTCACTTGGTAAACATCAATGAAGTTTGGTGAACTGATAACCTTCACAGCCAGTCATATCTGTAGCAAATCAGCGCTGTTTAAGAACGTGCTTAAATGTTAACGGGAAATGGACTAGTTTAAAATTTCTGTTCTGATTGGTTCCGAATCATGACAACACTACCTACACTGCAAAAAAATGCTTTTCTTAGATTTTTTTGTTTTGTTTCTAGTCCAAATATCTAAAAATTCCTAAATCAAGAAGAATTTTTTAGACAAGCAAAACATATTGTCTTGTTTTGAGAAATAACATGCCAATATTAAGTGAGTTTTTCCTTAAAACAAGCAAAATAATTTGCCAATGGGGTAAACAAAATAATCTTACGTCAAAAGAAAAAACAAGATTAATTTGCTTACCCCATTGGCAGATTATTTTGCTTGTTTTATGGAAAAACTCACTTAATATTGGCATGTTATTTCTCAAAACAAGACAACATGTTTTGCTTGTCTAGAAAACTCTTCTTGATTTAGGAATTTTTTGATATTTAGACTATAAACAAGACAAAAAATATAAGCAAGAAAAGCATTTTTTGCAGTGTAAAACTGAAAATTTAGTCTTCGTTTACTCACTCTTAACTTGTCACAAACCATGTTTGAGTCTGTTTCTTCTTCGGAACACAGAAAAACTTGGTAGGAAAAATGTTGCAACTATTGACTTCCTTGATGTTTGTTTTTCCTGCTATGGAAGTCGGTAGATTTTAGGATTCCAACATGTTTCAAAAGCATCTTGCTTTGCGTTCAGGTGAATTGCGATTCAGTGAATGGTAAGTAAATGTTAATTTTGTGGGTGAACTTTCCCTTTAAACACTACTAATTGGCAATTGTGTTGACACTCTTAACATGTATGACGGTGATGCTCGGGACACTGTAGCAGACATATGAATGGATATATGACGGATCACCTGATAGACGTAACTTCCAAACTCTCCAGTGTATCTGTGCAATCGCTCAGTGAAAAGCGTTAATTTAAGCCAATCACAGTCACATCTCTTGAGCACGATGGCCAATCAGTGGTGTTTAAAAACCTGATATGAAGATTTCTAAAATTTCAGTAGTGATTGGAACCAAAGACGTTACTTTTGACGTCCGTGCCCCTCGTTCATGTTTTGCGCAATGATAATTTGGGTGTGGTTTCCCTTACTATGAAGCTTCTATCTAATATTCTTGTAATTATTAAAAGCCCCGTTTGGCCACTTTTATTAATATATATTACAAAAAAAAATTATATATATTTAGTTTGTTTCTTGACATTCCCTTTTGCTTATTCAGGGTAATTATTTGCAAGTCCATTTATACAATTAAAGTAATTTGTAGATATCTACACAAGAGGCGACACTGCCAGTGCAGGTCTTATTTATTTCCCACGCTTGCACTGAATCTGTGAACCCTAAATAGTGTACTTTCTGAGGTGGGATTGAATTCAAAAGTGTGCTGGTAGGAGTTTTGTACGCAAAAAGTACATTTTATATGCAATTTACTTGAAGGTTGTTCCAGTAAGTGTGCGGTTTGGATCAGTAGTTTTCCCTGTAATATTAATTTCATTGACCAACTCATTCAGAAGACAGACAGAGCGGGTTTTTGCAGTGTGGTTTGTGATGACTTCAATATAATCTGCGGGATGAGTGCAAATGGAGAACGCAGTACTCTGAACTAACAAAGTGTTTTGGGGTGATTTTGAGTGTTCTGGGTTTGACTTTAACACGTTGGTACTTATTTCTTATTGTTTCGTTGTCAAAATATGAAATCCAGTATGTCCATTATTATAAATTGGATGCTTATCCGACATGTACAGATGCACTTCAAATATTGTTCTTATAGATCTCTCTCTGTGTGTGTGTGTGTGTGTGTGTGGATTTGATGAATATGAGAAAAGGATATACTCGCAAATTAAAAAAAAAATGCTTTTTACTTCTGCTGTATATGTGTAAAAAGTTGCATTGCAAAAAGAAGTTCTATCTGATTTATTTTTCTGTATCTTCATAAGTTATGGAATAGCCAAGGGATTTCATATTTTAACAAGCATTGCACTATTGTATTTATATAGACAGACAGAAGCACTACGTCTTTAGGAAATTGGAACAGCTTTTTTTTTTTGGATCTCCTGGTTAAAACCTCTAAAATGATGGAGGCACGGAAATATCTTCCACACGTTCTGGAAAAATGGATCAAGTGCCCTCAGCTATACTTTGTGCAAGACCAAAGCTCTTCAGCGCAGCATTGAAGACCTGCAGTTCAGCTTATCAAATGTGTTTAATCAAACTCTTGTTAGATGTTCATGTGTGTCTGGGGTTTTCCGTTCACCATTTACTGTATGAGTTGGAATTGTATGCTGATTAATGGTGTTTTGAGAGTTGAGATTCACGTATGAAGCACAGATGATGATGTTACATGCAGAAGGAGGTTGTCTAAAAGCTCTTGGTATTGTTTTCTTTGGGTTATATTTTCGTGTTAAAGCATAATTCATATCCTCCTGATATTTTATCGCCATCGTTTTTCCATGAATGCAAGGTTTATTCCCTTTCCTGTCCACACTTTTCATCATTTGATTTATATTTGTCATCTTTTGTTTTTAATTGCCGCGGGTGTTTCATCTCTGAATGCAGCAGACCTACATCTTATATAAAGCTGGGTTTTGTATTGTGTTTGCCATTAGATTACAGTTTAAGAGTTCTGTCCTGGAGTTTTTTTTTTGTAATAAATTGGTTCATGAATCAATTTTTGTGTATTTCTGTCTGGCGGTTTATGTTGTTCAGTGAAAGCATTGCTTAATTATTGGATTCGGTCGTTATTTTAGCCTACTTAAGCATGTGCGTACAAGAAACTATCTCAGTTTGACTGGATAACCAGTCTGATTTACTTCAGTGTTCAGTTTCATACTGCACTTTAACTCCTAATGTCTTGTTTAATAACCCCACAAAATGTTTGCCCCCTGTAATGCCAATTGAATGCCGTTTGTAGTTCTGTCAGCAGCCTAAAGGTGGCACCATAAGGCAAGGCTTACGCACACATACACTTACCGGCCACTTTATTAGGTACACTGTATTAGCACCGGTTTGGACCCTCTTGCCTTCAGAACTGGCTTGATCCTTCATGGCATAGATTCAAGAAGGGACTGGGCATATTCCTCAGAGATTTTGGTCCGTATTGACATGATAGCATCACTAAGTTGCTACAGATTTGTCAGCTGCACATCCATGATGGGAATCTTCATTTGAGGCCATTTGAGTACAGTGAACTCATTGTTATGTTCAAGAAAACAGTCTAAGATGATTAATGCGTTGACATTGTGCGTTATCCTTCTGCCATCAGAAGATGGGTACACTGAGGTCATAAAGGGATGGACATGATCAGCAACCATACTCAGCTGTGGTGTTGACACAATGCTCAGTTGGTACTAATAAGCCCAAAGTGTGCCAAGAAAATCCCCCACACCATTACACCACCACCAGCCTGAACCGTTGATACAAGGCAGGATGGATCTATGCTTTCATGGTGTTGATGCCAAATTCTGACCCAACCATCCGAATGTGGAAACAGAAATCAACACTTTTGATTTCAGTTTTGGTGAGTCTGTGCGAATTGTAGCCTCAGTTTCCTGTTCTTAGCAGACTGGAGTGGCACTTGATGTGGTCTTTTGCTGCTGTAGCCCATCTGCCTCAAGGTTGGGCGTGTTGTGCGTTCAAAGACGCTCTTTTGCATACCTCTGTTGTAATGAGGGGTTATTTATGTTACTATTGCCTTTCTATTAGCTCAAACCAGTCTGGCCATTCTCATTCTTTAAGGTTTACACACACACACACACACACACACACACACACACACACACATATATATATATATATATATATATATGTATGTATGTGTGTGTGTTTGTTTTTGTGTAAAATATATAACTTTTTAAAACTTTATAGTCTATACAGACCTCAATTCAGTAATTTCTAGCTCAGATTATTAGTATGTAACCTGTGATATAATATAATTAAAGGACTGCATGTCTTTGTGCTTGAGTTTATCTTTTTCCACAACATGACCTTAAATGGAAAATAATTTTGCAAAGGCAAAATGAGTTAGAGGTGATATTAAAGTTACATTATGAAAGAATTTTACAACGTTACTATTAACAGTACAGTATGTAAATTTCGCCATTAGAGGGCGCTTACTCACCAGAAGGGCGCATCTGAAATCGTCCCACTATACCCCCATTCATTTCCCAGAGATGGGTTGTGGCTGGAAGGGCATCTGCTGCGTAAAAACTTGCTGGATAAGTTGGCGGTTCATTCCGCTGTGGCGACCCCGGATTAATAAATTGACTAAGCCGACAAGAAAATGAATGAATAAATGAATAACCTTATTCACTATTAGTCCACTACTATAGCAGGTCCTTAGCCAGCCTGGTGAAAGGGGTGGTCTTTTCATCTCTCAACTGAATCTTTTTGCAGTTATTCGCCTCATTGTCTATTTAACTATGAGATTTAAATTCTGCATTTTAGCGACAGCACTATTTTTTCTGGATTAGCTTGTCAGGTGGTAATCATAGCCACACTTTTTGATGTACCAAAAATATTTTATAAAGATTTAGAATAAAGGAATATGAAAAAAAAATATATTTATACATATTATTTTTAAAATAGAAATGTATCACATCCTATATCATTAGGAAAAATGAATCTGTTGAAGAAACTGCCTATTTAAACTAAGTAGCCTATTGTCATGTATTAGGAAAATTACAAACTAGCCTGCACATTCAACTTTACGTCATAAAAAATTTAAACGTAATAATAATAATAATAATAGTTGTTAACAATGATGGTAATAATAATGATGCTTTTGTTTTTGCATTGAAGCTGTAAAAATGACCTTGCTCTTCAACTCCTGCTGGGGGCGCTCTAACATCAGACACAGAGCTGAAAGGCTGCTATGGGATCCCATCACATGAAGAGATGCAGAAATGAATGCGTGTGGCTACCAGAGAAAGAAACACCCAGAAAAAAAGAGAAAGTAAGTTCCCATCTGAATCCTCCAGCCGGGAGTTCTCGGGCCATCGAAGTGAAGCAATCAAGTTTGCCATTGTTGCCAACCTTGCCGGCTCAAGCTTCCTGGTAACCCTAAAGTGAATTAGCTGAGCTTTTCTACAGGCCCAGAAACAGCTCCTCTGTTCTTCAACAAAAAGCCCATTGAGATAAAGGGAGCTCTGGCCTC